CGCGTTAACATTAATATTTATCTTTACCTTCGCAAACGGTTTGATCTAAAGACATTTCCGTTTATTCCAGCACAATAGACATTTGTTCGTTCGTAGCCGGGGATACCAGAAATACGGTTTTGGAAACTTACCAAATAATTCTTAACAAAAGATACTAAAATATTAACGACATTATCCGTACGTATTATTATTTTCCTCTATTTCTTCCTCCTTCTTCCTCTTGTTTATTAAAATTAATAACAACTTATAACGAAAATGGAGAAAATTGGAAAAGGAAAAAATGAGCTAAAAGTGAAAACCATATAAACACACACTTATGTAAACGTTGACACTTAAAGGCTATTCACCAACTTTCGTTCGAAGAGTATGACGACTACAGCGACGCGTACGAACAAAATACGAACTATTAACGCAAGCTATGAAACTGTTTCAACAATGAGTTCATTGCATCGGTGTATAAAGTTTGTGCATTAGGTTCTTACTGACACCTAACCTCTAACGATCGAATTGATGCATAGAAAAATTTGCAACAAACAATAAGATTTCGACGAGTATTTAAAAAAAAAGAAAAAAAAAAAGAAAAGAAAAAAAAACAATTTATAATCAAGGAATAATTTTTTTATATATCAAATATTATTCTATAATATAATATAAGTGTATTTCTGAATAAAAATAGCGTTGAAGAGTGTTACTTCATAGATAGTGTGCATTCAATATCAATTTTTAACACGATCTTTTCTTTTCTTTTTTTTTTCTTTTTTTCTTTTTCTTTTGAAAGATATATATATATATATATATTTTTTTTTTGTTTTGTTTTCAAATTTTAATTCTTCATAAATAAGATTATGAATGATTTAACACCCTGTATATTGATATATATATAGATATATATTGGTGTGTTGCATCGAAGTGACATCTGGAGAAATTTAAGCTGAACTTTTTGTTTCTATGCAAAATTAATTCAATGACGAATTGGAACGGAAGATTTAAAAATGGCCGCTCAATCTGAGGAAATGTTTTCAGGTGAAACCGATACGATAGAACAATCAAAGAAAGAAGTAAGAACATATATTAAGGGTATCGAGAAAGAAAAAGAAAAATTTTACGGTACGTTTATGTCACTATTCTTTCTGTCAATCAGTTATAAAGAATTTTTTATGAAAATATAATCAGTACTGCTAAATCATAAAAAAATCATTTTTAATCTTTTTACATTTCATAATCAATAAGAAGACTCTTATAATGATCATTGAAACTTCATAAATCAATATAAATATTCATTTATATTATTATTTTACAAGTGCAGCAGCAATTTTTTTAAGCACTGTCACTGGCCTTTCTGCTCTTATTGGTTTTGGTACAACGCTTGCCTCAGTAAGAAGGAAAGATCCAAAATACTTTGACAAAGGATTAACCGGATCTAGAAAGCTCCAAGAAACAGGCACATTGTTAGCCTTTCGAGCACTTTGTTGGGGTACATTCTATGCTGTAACTGGATGCGGTCTTTTGTTTTATGGCATCTGGAAGATTTCTGGTGCAAAGAATGCTAAAGAATTCAGATACAAAATGGGATCGATTTTACCAAAGATTCCTAAAAATGATCCACCACAAAGTAGAGTAGAGTTTGAAGGTTTGACCGATCTTCTTACATATATTGCTGAAGATTGGGGTAAAAAAAAGGTATGAATATAAAATATATATATATATGTATATTAAATTAATATAAAAATTTTCAAAAGGACATCATTAATTTATAGATCATTAATTTGCAAATCATTGATCTATCAATTATCTATTATTTTTTTTTCTTTACAGGAGTGAAAGATATTCTTGTATTTTCTTTCGCCTAATTGAACTTTACAAACTTAAATGAAAATGTTTTTCATTGTTAGAAAAATAATAATTTGTACAAAGAGAAAACAATAATATTATTATTATTACTACGCCCAATAAATAAAATTACGCCCAAACACATGTACAAATGTTAAGTATGTTGTTCAATGAATTGAATAAAATATATTTTTTAACAAAGCGTAATTTTATATAATTGAAAAAAAAGAAGAAGAAGAAGAAAAAAGAAAAGAAAAAGAAATAAATAATCATTAGGAAATTTAATATGAGAAAAAAGTGAAAAAGCATTCGAGCTGGAATAATATCGCGTTATTACTTTATAAAATATCTAAGAGATATACAAAACGACAGAAACAAAAAAATCATTGTCATTAACTGATATGTGATAATTTTGTTTGACAAATGCACAGAGAAAAAGATCAGTAATTTCTAAACGTATATTTATCGTATTATACGTCCGATGACCTCGCATTCATATACAGTATACTGTGCCACTTAGTGTCAGAAATTATCTAATTGGCACTTACCTCAATACATAAGTTATATATATATATATATATATATATATATATATATTGAATGAAGACATATAATTAAGAAAACATTTTCTTTTTTTATTTCTTCTTGAAATATAAACGTTTAAAATATATATGTCACTATTGTCTTTTTTTGTTTTTTTTTTTTGTTTTTCTTTTTTTTTATCTCTTTTTCCTCCATAAAACATTGTCGATATACTAAATGGATCCAGATATTTTTAAACTCGAAAAAATTATACAATTTCATGAAAAAGAATAATACAAAAAAAAGAGAGAAAAAAATAGGAAAAATTAGATGATAGAGTCACGTAATGGAATAAAATTGATTTTTGAAATCATTTTGAAACTTTCGATCCACTCTAACAATTGCTATATACTTAGTTATCTATTACATATTATTATAGTTATCTATTACATATATACGTAAAAATTCAAGACTAACTAAGAACTTTAAAGTCGATCAATCTAACGCGTATAGTACATACACTACATACACACATACACACACGCACCCAAGCGCGTTCTCTCTCTCTCTCTCTCTTTCTCTCTCTTTATCTCCCTTTTAGTCTCTTATGTGGTATATGTTAACGTTCATGAATGGCTTCTTCGGTTTACTACAAGTAGACGATGCGATTAACTGCTGCTAAATGCATTACACGACGCTTCGGCTCAGACGGATCATAATAAACGCTTTGAGTTCTTTCCTAGTGTGAGTATATATGTGTGTAATAGGTTTCAATGGACTTTAGTCAATATGTTCTATAAGAAATTCATATTAATTTGAATGAAACGTTCAAGGACATTATTCAAAAGATAATACGAATTATTTCAATGTATGATCTTTCTTTCTTTTTCTCTCTTTTTCTCTTTCCTTTTCTTATTTTTTTTATTTCTATCTCCTAACATTTATAACATAAAATACAATCGATAAAATTCATAATTTATGAGCAAGACTTTATACAGTTTTTAAAGGACTTGTTATAAAAGATATATGAGTTATTTCTATTATCTGTATCCTCTCATTATTTTGATAATTTATATAATGTATGATGATACTTATTTGCATAAATTTATGTATATATATATATATATATATATAAATTTATGGAGATAAATATTTTATTTACACACATGCACGCACGCACAAACACACACATATATGAGTCCTATTCCGAATTTTTAATAAAAAATATTTAAAATTATCAGCACATTAACTATAAATCTCAAATAATAGTTGACACAAATAAGAGAAAAAATTCAAATATATTACCAAGTTTTTGTTTTACTTTTTTTCTTATATTATTATCTTATATTATATATCTTCTATAATATAATAATGCAACTATGTCAAAGAATAAAATGTAGATTATATAATATATTGATATTAAATCTTATAAATATATTTTCATTTACGTCATTTGATTTTTCCTTTGTGTTTGTCTATATATACGTATTTTTATATTTTTTATTTATATATGCAAAGCTATACGTAATACAAATGATATTATTATTTAAAAGAAGGGCAAATGTCATTTTCATTAATAATTGAAAACGTATAATATAAATATTTATGATTACTTTCGATTTTCTTCCCTACTTTTTTTCTTTATGATTAATACATAACACATAGCGTATTTAAGTTAAATTAAGTTAATTAACAAAATTAAAATTAACGAATTTGAGATGAGTAAATAAATAAAAAAAAAAATTAATAATAATAATAAGAAGAAAGAAAAATACTAGGAAAGAGTAAAAAAAATCATAAGAAAATAAATAATTGACGAGATCAGTTTATAATCTCGTCTAAAATTTTTTATCCTCTTATAAACTTTTACAAGAGTTAGGTATTTTTCAATATTAATATTAATATTTTCATATTCAAAATTAAATACATTTACGGGTTAAATGTTTTTACATTAATACCTAAATAAAAGAAAGAAAAGAAGGGAAAAAAGTGCAAAAATAATTTACGCGACGTTGCGATTTCAAATAAATCTTAAATTTACGAATATGTTTGTCAATGTTTCAGATTAATTTGAAAGTTTTACTTGTTACGTTCAACTGATTGTTCAACTCAAAATATTTCATTTTAGTATTATATTCGTTAAGAAAAAAAGAAAAAAAAAAAGTTTTTGTTTAAACGTTATCACTCGAATATATTCAATTTCTATTACGTTAATATTCTTGTTTATTATCTTTCTCTTTTTATTTACTTTTTTCGTTCCATTCACTCTCCTACACTCCTTCCTTCTAACATAAAAACTTATATTTATGGAATATAAGGATATAAAATAATTGAAAAAAATTGATCTGGATTTCTATAAATGTTCCGATGTAAATATGTTTATAATGAAAATAAACATGTCAAATTTACATAGAAAATCATTTACTTACAAAAATTCAATTAGTAAATATTTATAAAATCATAAAAATGAACGTCTACGTATGTATCCACGTATATGTATTTGACACAAAATCACATATTCATTTGTAAATACGTAAAAACTTGTCATATTTAAAAATGCATACGTATATACACAGATGCATAAACACGTACATTTCGATTATAAATGTGACTACGTGACATTGTCAAAGAATTTAATAATCCGATTTAATCTTTATTGACGTCATTGTATTTTTATTTTTCAACGAGTCAATTATTGAAATAACGTATATACTTGAAAATTGTTTGAAAACGATAATAACTTAATATAATATTAACAATAATAAAAATAATTATCATTAATATACAATTAATTCTTTTTTTTTTTATTGATCGTAATCCTAGCACATATAATTCTTTTTAATGAAAAAAGTTATTTGGACTATTATTTTTTTTCGAATATTTTTTTTTTAATGTATAATCAATCAATGTTATTAATTAGGCTATATACACTTACGCACATATATCTGAATGGAATACTAACGTATTCGTTATATTCTCTTTATCTTTTGTTTCATTTTATTCTCTGCTTACAATTTTAGTTTTAACATATATTAAAACATCTATGTTTCTAGTTAACGCAATTTCGTAATCGCCATACTGACGAACAAAGATAATGTCAAATTGATATTAGCATGTTATTATTGGTTACCAAAAAAAAAAAAGAAAAAAAAAAAAAATAGATAAATAAATAAATAAATTAACTTTACTTAGAGGCAATAGAAATTCCTAGCAAAATTTATTATAGCTCAATTGTTAAAAGTATTTAATTGGCAATTACATAATTTCCTTTGTGATAACATACGACTCTTATGATAACATTAAAAATTAAAAAATATCGCAACTTACCTTTAATTACGAGAGAATTATCGACGTTTTTTATTTCATTAAGATTATTTTCTTCTTCTTCTTTTTTTTTTTTTTTTTTTTAGATTTCCTCAATTATTTATCGTAATATGTAAGATATATCATATGCGAACTTTGTAAGAAGAAACGAATAAATTCTACGTTAACAGAAATATTGTTGATACAGCATTTTATGTTTTCTTTCTTTCTTTCTTTTCTTTTTTTTTTTTTTTTTTTAGTGCTATAATCGCAGAATTTATGTTTAATATAAACTATTCAAGGATTTCATCGCTGATCTGATATATATATATGTATAAAACACACATAATGTAATATATGTATAAAGCACATATAATGTAATGTATGTATAAAGCAGATATATGTATATGTATTTTTTTATAATCATAAGTAAATTTGCTTATCATTGATTCCTTATTCAAACGTTATAACAAAAAAATTTTATAATAGAATTATATATTAGATATATGAAATATGCATGGAACCTTTTTTGCACTTTTTTCTTTTAATTTATTTTCTTCGATCGAGTTCATCAAAAGCTTACCATCGTTTTTCTTTTATTATTTTTTTTTACTTTTTTCTTTTGTTTTATATCTTTCCACTCCATAAAAATGATACAACTTGAGAGGAAGAAGAAATGAAACGAAGAAGAAAGAAAGACAAATTTATTTCTGTTATAAATGTCTTTTCTTCGTCGTCTACAAACAATTTGATTTTTTTTATTTTTCTCTTTTTCTAATTTTTTTTTTGTATTTTTTGTATTTTTTAAAATCTTTTTCGTTCCTTAAACAAATAAGCACATGACTCGTTCGATGCGTTTCTCTCCCTCTCTCTCTCTCTCTCTCTCTCTCTTTCACATTGTATTATATACACCTATGATGCATTATATACATCTATGATATAATTATTTCTGTAAATTACGCGAGCTAATGAAAAACATTTACTTAAAAAAAACAAGAGAAATAAAAGAAAAATAAAAAAACATTAAAAAATTTTTGATATATATATATATATATATATATATATATCAGACACATTATAAGAAAAATATTTGTGCAATTGTGAACAAATTGGAAATAAAACTGAAATATTTCTTAATGCGCGTAAACGTGTGCGCAGTCTAAGTAAAATGAAAAGGAAAAAAGAGATCTTTATTATTAATATTCACTTTTCATTAGGAACAATTCGAAGATTTAGAAAAAAAAAAAAGAATAAATAAATAAAAAAAAAGAAAAAAGGAAAAACAAGAAAACAAAGGTCTCATTATTTATCGAAGTATTAGATGATCTCTCTTCTTTGATAAGAAAAATTTTTCACAAAAAAAAAAAAAAAAAAAAAAAAAAAAAAAAAAAAAAAAAAAAAAAAAAAAAAAAAAAAAAAAAAGACAAGAAAAAAAGAAAACGAAGATAAAAAAAAACCAAACGATTACTCCAATTATTGCAACGATCAGAGAGACTTTCCTTTTTCTTTTTCTGATTTCCTTCTTTTTTTTTCTTTTCTTCTTTTTTTTCCTTCCCCCTCCCCCTTGCTCTCCCTGTACATAAATTCTTTTACAGCGAATACGTCACAACGAAGCCCAGAGAATTTCTTTTTATTTTCTTTTTCTTTACCACCCCCCCCTTACCTCTGCCTCCATCGATAACGAATAAAAATTAAAGTTTCGTTTGATCAACGAAATCAAACGAAGAAAAGTCACGTAGTTATTTTAATTTGCATATGCGGACGGACACACACACATACACACACACACACACACTCACAGATACGCGCGCACAAAAAGTAAATATTTTATGTTAGATATTCGTTCTTTTACATGTCATAAATACAAATTTTTCGACGTGATGCTTTTTAATGGTCACATACATACATTTACATACATACATACATGTACATATACATACATACGTACATATATATATACACACATACATACATGTATATATACATACATACATACACGCATATATACATACATATCATACGTAAATACATGTATATATACATACATATACATACATACATATACATACACACATACATACATGCATAAACATATACATACATACATACATACATACATACATACATACACTAAACTTTTACTTCATAGGACTTTCATTAATATTATCATAATAGTATTTGACGTTATCGATCATGTTAACTCTCTGTAAACGAATTCTTACATCTCTTGAATATTTTATTTATTTTTCCTTCTCTCATCCACCTTTCTCTCTCTTTCTCTCTCTCTCGATAAGGATAATGAGTTTGGGGGCAGAGGGAGAGGTGAAAGAGACGGAGGGAGGAAAGAGGAAGGAGATGAACAAAAAAAAATTATTTTTAAAGAAGTAAAATAACGAAAGAATAAATGAAAAAAATTAAAAAAGGAAGAAGAACGTCGAGTGATTATTTTTATTTAACGACGTTTAAACAACGATACGTAAATTCGCGCTCTCAGTTACGTCAAATAGACGACGCAAAATTATTATTTCATAATAGTAATCGAGAATGCAAAGTTGAGAACCTTTCATGTCCATTTCCTCTTTCATCAAAGTACCGTGAACTTTCTCTTTTTGTTTCTCTATCGTTCGTAACCATAGTGACATCGTCAAATCATTCCATAAAAGGACCCCATTAAAAAAAAAAAAAGTTGACGAGGATCGAGGAATAAAGGAGAGTGAAGGGGGCAATAGGCAGGACAGGGGAATAAAAGAGACGGACGGGAGCAAAAAAACTTGCTTCCTTGGAATTATACATCTGTTATGTACCAAAACTCTTAACGCGAAAGAGAAAAAAGAAGAAAAAAAAAAAAAAAAGAGAGAATAAAAAGTCCTTGAAATGAATAATGACGTCGACGACAATGACGACAATGATGACGATGTAAGAACGAAGATCAAATAATACATAATTTTGTTTCGAATTTGTTTTCTTGTGATTAATCTATTTCTCTCTCTCTCTCTCTCTCTCTCTTTCTTTCTCTCTCTCTTTCTCTCTCTCTCTTTCTATTTCTCCTAAATAGAAATTATTATTATAATTATTTTAATTATTAATATTGTTAACATTATTATTAATATTAATATTATTATTATTATTATTATCATCATCATCATCATTATTAATTATTACTGTCATTATTGTTGTTGTTGTTGTTGTTATTATTTTTATTGTTATTATTATTATTATTATTATTATTATTATTATTATTATTATTATTATTATTATTATTATTATTATAACAGAATATTTGTATATAATCCCAAAATTCTTTGACAATGGACAATGGACAATAGACAATTAATTAATTAATTAACAATCGGTATATTATTAATTTTTTACAATAAGAAATGACGGCCGGAGCGCGATCCGACTCGATTAATCTTTTCTTTTTTTTCCCTTCTTCCTTTGTATTTTTTTGTTTTGTTTACACATGTAACTTATTCGACTGCTTATGTTAAAATTATTATATATATATAAAAAAAAAAAGACCTCGAAAAAAATCCCTTCTTTTTCACACTAATGCATCACAGCTCACTTACTCTATTTTTTTAATTTTTTTTTTTTTTATTTTCTTTTCTCATACGCACATACAAATTATTCTCTCTTTCTCTCTCTCTCTCTCTCTCTCTCTTTTTTACAAACATACGCAGACAAACACGTATTTACTCTCTTTCTCTTCCTGAACGGGAATTTAAAGAGTACGCTCATTGCAGCATATTATTTATATTTCGAAGTAATAGAAAAATAAAAATTAAAAGAAAAGGAAATAAAAGAACAAATATGTATAAATGTTTGTTTCTGTGTGTGTGTGTGTGTGTGTGTCGAATTGTTCGGCAAGTATCGACATGCAATATAATATTCCAAAAAAAGGATAAAAGAATAATAATAATAAAAAAAAAATAATAATAATAATTATAATAAATTAATTTTTAATTCCAAAGAATATAATACAATGCACACAATATATAATATATTTTAAGTAAAACGTTTAAGAAATATTACGAAATTTGAAAAAAGAACGGGTGATTTGATGGGGAAAAGAAAAAAATATGATTAATTTGAAACAAGGGGGTGATGAAAGGGTAAAAAAAGAAAAGGAAAAGAAAGAGGAAAAAAAAGGAAAAAAAAGAGGAAAAAGAGGAAAAAAAAGAGGAAAAGAAGAGGAAAAAAAGAGGAAAAAAAGAGGAAAAAAAAGAGGAAAAAAAGAGGAAAAAAAATGATCGATGAAAAGTTAATAAATCGAATCGCGCATATGCGTTTGAGAAAATTATCGCGTATAATTGAATATACATATTTATGTAATAATAATTTAAGAGAAAAAAAAAATTAGTAAAGGAGAAAGAAAAAAGAAAAAAGGTGGAGAGAGAGAGAAAGAGAGAGAGAGAAAGAGAAAATCGAGATTAAATTTACTGCAAATATTTTGAAGGTGAATATGCGTCATTTGACATATGCGCATGCACGCTTACTTCTTCAACAGTTATATGGATCTTTCAAAATGTTGGAAAAATATCTTTCCAAATCTTTCAAAAAAATTGGCTATACCAATAGCAGCGATTCATCCTCGTGCACTCGTTAATATAATATATACCTCTCTCTTTCTTTCTTTCTTTTCTTTTTTTTTTTTTTTTTTTTTACATAAACACCTTTCTAGAAAAAAAGAGAAAAAGAGAAAGAGAGAAAAGGCATACAAAATACATACATACATACATACATACATACATACATACATACATACATACATACGTACGTACATAATATCCGTTGCATATTATCGGGATCATCAAAATCTTATCTAGCACCTGCTATAAAAGATCGATGATAATGATGATGATAATAATGATGATAATGATGATCATCACATCGCTAACGATATTAAAAGTGGTATGAAAAGTAAATAGAAGAGGGCATTATTAGCCGATTATAACACACTGTTATTAAAAATATACATTTTGAATTTAAATATTAAAATATAATTAACATTATACGTTGATCATTATGTTTTTCATTCATATATTTAATATGTATGTATATTCAATAGCAAGTGTCAAATGTCAAGTACAAACTTCGTATAGGTCATATAACATGTTTGTTAAGTATCTTTGTTGTGTGTGTGTGTGTGTGTGCGTGCGCGCGCGCGTATATATATATGTATATTTAAATTCTTATCGTTACGTGGGAATTTCGAAATTGAACGGCCAAAGGATATCGATGGGAAGCCAAAATGATTGATACCATTCGATCATTATATAACTCGATCAATATCGAATTTATCGAATCAATCATCAGTCGATTGGAAAATGATATTTGTTTATATATATATTTTTTTTTACTTTGTATTTACTCCTTTAATTTCTTTGAGAAAAGAAAAAGGGACGACGCGTGATGTTACAAATACAAACACAGACGCAAACACACACACACACACACATACACACACATACATCACGCGGGTGTGTATAAAAGGAATGAAAAAAATAATAACAAAAGCTGTAATTAACATAGAAAAAGAAAGATTCATTGTTTATTTCTAAATCCACACGAAACTGTACTAAATATATACATACGTACATATATATATATACATATATATATATATATATATATGTATATATTTAATGCACGTAGCACATGTCATGTGTGTGTGTGTGTGTGTGTGCGTATGCGGGCACATATATAAGAAATTTTATCTACTATTCAAAATTATCATAATTATTTCATTATCATTTCATCATCATCTCATTATCATTAAGATTCGTATTTTTTATTCCAATAATATAGATTCGATTAATAAATACGCGTACTTTTCTTCACTGTTCGTAAATACAAGATAGTATGATGACAAACATCGAGCGCAGCTCGTACGTAATATCTCAATGCTAAGATATTCATTCTTTCTATCTCTATCCCTCTTTGCACATTCCCTATCTTCCTTCTTATCTGATATTAAGAAAAATTAATTTATGGTTTTAGAAATTATCCGACGAACATCGTCGGATTCCGTCTTTTTATTATTATTTTTTTCTTTTCTCTTCTTTTCCTTTTCATTTTCCCCTTCACCTCTAAATCAGCCATCAGTTTTATTTTTTATTCATTTTTTTTTTGTAATTTTTTAATTTTTTTTTAATTTTTTTTTAATTTTCTTCTTTCCTCTTTCTATCTTTCCTTCTTTCTTTCTTCGTATGCCTTATCTTCGTTCGAAAAAACAGAAATAAAAAAAGAAAAACACTATGTTGCCTAAGACACGTCTCGATCGATCGCAATCAACATTAATTATCATTCTCATCTAGCACAAGTGCAACTCAACTCTCACTTCCACTCACTCACTCACTTACTCATTCTTTCTCTTTCTCTTTCTCTCTCTCTCTCTCCTCTCCTCTCTTTCTCTCTTTGTCTCTTTATCTTTTTAACATACGAGAGAACATAACGACGAACGAATCGAACTCTAATTTATCGAACGATAGCATAATATATGTATGTATATAAACGTCGATGCAATTGAATTCAAAGAATCTTCTTTATTCCTCTCTTTTCTTTTCGTTCCTTTTTTTATTTTATTTTATTATTATTATTATTATTATTATTATTTTTTGTTTTTTTATTTATTTTCGTTTGTTTATTACTTTTTTTCTTTCTTTCCTTCTCATTTCAGAATTTTAAAACGCCCATTACTTCATACTCACGTGACTCACACATTCGACTCTTTTCTTTTTTATTTGTTTGTTTGTTTATTACAATCGTCGAATTTTTTATATTTTTTTTCTTTGTTATTCTTTTTCCTTTTTTCTTTCTTTCATTTGTCGTCCGATGCGCCTATGTATGTTTAGGAAAATATTTTGTAGGCCAACGAGAAAAGTGTTGGATAAAAAAACCAAAAAAAAAAAAAAAAGAAAAAAAAAAGAAAAGAAAGAAAGAAAGAAGGAAAGAAATAGAAAACAAAATAATAATACTAATGTTAATAGTAATAGTAATAATAATAATAATAATAATAATAATAATAATAACAATAATAATTAATTGATAATGGATACATTAGCCAGGGATTTCGCCATATTGTCAGAAAGTGAAAAATAATTTTATTATCTTTTTTTTTTGTTTTTATCTCGTTTTTTTCCTTTTTTTTCAAAATTTTCTCCTCCCCCATCCGTCTCTTTGTTCCTCCCTACATACTCTTTCTAATCTCTTCATTTACAATTATTTCAATTTGTCCAATCAAAAAGAAGAAAAAACAGAGAAAAAAGAAAGAGAGAGAGAGAGAGAGAGAGAGAGAGAGAGAGATGGAGAGAAAGAGAGAGATGGAGAGAGAAAGGAGTTCAGGATCTTGAAAAAAATAAATAAAAAATGAATCGTCTCGGTCGATGATTGACGTGATCGAAGATATCGTATCTAAATCGGCGAGTAATTGATTTGTGCAGTAATTTTCTTTTTTTTTTTATAGTAATTAATTTAGGAACAAAAAAATAAATGAATAAAACAGGAAAGAAATCCTGACGAGACAGACAGAGAGAAAGAGAGAGAGAGAGGGAGAGAGAGAGAGAGAGAGAGAGAGAGAGAGAGAGAGAGAGAGAGAGAGAGAGAGTGAGAGAAACTCGATAATAATTAATTATTATCATCATTATTAATTATTAATATTAACAATTACAATTATCATTATCATTATTATTATCATAATTGTTGTTGTTGTTGTTGTTGTTGTTGTTGTTGTTATTATTATTATTATTATTACTACTACTATTATTATTATTATTATTATTATTATTATTATTATTATTAATATGGAAATTATTCTGTGAGGTTTATCTCCTCGTTTTTTTTTTACTACCACCCACCCTTTCCATACTCCATGACCTCCATAGAAAATAGAAAAACTCTAACACATATATAAAATGCAGTAAATGGAAAAAAAGAAAAAGAAGAAAAGAAATAAAAAATAAACAACAATTCAATATAATATAATAAAATAAAGTAAAATAGAATAGAAAAAAACAATATACTTATACATATATAATAATAATAATAATAATAATAATAATAATAATAATAATAATAATAATAACAATAACAATAACAATAATAATAATAATAATAATATAAAATAAAATAAAAAAGAAAGGAAAGAAATAAAGAAAAAAAGAAGGCCGGTTGGGCCGGTGATAGAAAAGGCGAGAAAGGTTGATTGAGGCATGTTGCTCTTAAGAGATAAAAATTTGTTGTTTAACTTGTTGTTGTTGTTGTTGTTATTCTTATTGTTGTTGGTTCGCTTTTAATGAAGAAAGCTTTGTCCATTGAACAATTATCATTTGCCTTCTCATTTAGCAAGCACCATAATTGTTATGCGTTATTTTGTGTCTGTACGTTTTCTCTCCCCCCCTCTCTCTCTCTCTCTCTCTCTCTCTCTCTCTCTCTCTCTCTCTCTCTCTCTCTCTCTCTCTCTTTCTTTCATTTTGTTTGACTGTTCTCACTTCTTCTTCTTTGTTGTTTTTGTTATAGTTGTCGTAGTTGTCGTCGTAGTTATTGTTGTTGTGTTGTTGTTGTTGTTGTTGTTGTCTTCTCTTTCCTTCTTAATTTTCCTTCAGTTTACCATTCGCGTATTTCGTTGGTACGACCATATGGTCCTCCATCGTCATAGATGTGGTAGACGAGGATGCCGTAATCATACCGTTAGTATACAACTTCTTCATAGATTTTCTCGACGAGTCTCTGCCCAAATAGGCCTTGTGGAAGAACTGTGCGAATAGGACGAAATAACTGAAGTACATTGCCAGGCTAAGCCTGATGTTTAATCGTGATATGTGACACTCCGACTGTCCTTGTTTCAGGTACTGATAAGCCCACACATTTATGGCACAGCCCATCACCATTTGTGACAATTGCAATCCCGTGACCAGCATCGAGATCCATTTTGGTGGCGAATAACGCATAGCCTTCAATGCGTAATAGCTATACATCAACGAGTGAACGCAATAATTCATTACGATGAACCATCTTGCCGATGACGCGTATTCCGTATATGAAAACCATGAATATAGCAACACGGTTATGTGGTGATACCAATGTAAAAATATCAATGGCTGTTTACGTAGAACAATGAACACGGTATCACCTAGCTCCGGTAACTTTGATAACACGAACATCCATGTCCAAAAGCCCGACACTCGGTCTTGAACGATGAAACTGAAACATTAATAATAAAAAGAAAAAATACTAATATACATATGTATATAAAGTAAAAAATAAAAAATAACTAAATAAAAAGAAAGAGAAAAAAGAATGTGAGATAATTATTTCATTAGTTTTACGATACTTTACAACTTATTATAAAAGGGTCTTAATTATATTCCTCTCCCACCACCCACCTTCTTTTTACTGATGATTACAGCTAAATTATAAATTTGTATGTATGTGTGTACACTTTCGACATTTCGATTTCGTTGAATGTGTTTTTGCAATTATGTTTCGCAAAAGATTTTGATTGACAAAATAGAAAGTTTATGTTAATATGATTGCACAAAATTATTATTATTATTATTGTTTTTGTATTAACAATAAAGGAATGCAATTTAGCGATTAAATTTGTAAGTTCAGTAATATTCTCTTCAGTTTTGTTCATATTTGTTTATATTTACATTGTTTATATATTAACTGTCACATATTATTACATATATATATAAATATATGTAATACACACACACACACACACACACATATATATATTTTCTTTTCAAATAAAAAATCTAAGATCATTGAAAAATTAAAAAGAAATTACAAAATTTAATTAAAATATTGGATTAATTTTTTTTATTGGTTTACCGTAAACGTACGAATTTATTTAAATATTTATACACGGATCATGAAACCAATGTTTAATTTAAAATAAAATTGAGACGACTTCGTATTGAAATAATTTGAAAATATGATTGACACCATTTTGTCATCAATGACATAGTGCTTATTTAAACTAGCGATTATGAAAGTCATTTAATTCATTTAAGATATTAAAAGAAATTTGCAATGTTTATTTATGCTGGCAAATATTTTAATAAATATGATAAAAAACAACGGCGATTTAAAAAAATTCACTGCTTTTCTCATTTTTCTTTTTCTTTTTTTTTTTCTTTTTTCTTTTCGTTCGATTTAAGACGCGTTTCATTTTACGAAAATATTGTATATACAAAACGAAACAAAAAAATCGTAATTTTTTCAATATTTTACATAAATATTATATAAATATTACTTACTACGTCTCTGTTTCTTCATTATAGGTGAAAAAAAAATATATATATAAATAAGAAAAAAAAAATGATAATAGTAATAATAATAATAATATTTTCTTTTTTAAATAATTCGAATTCAAATATGCTCATGGCAACATGTATCACTTAATAACTACAACTTTTTTTTACCTCATTCTATGATCGACTTATATATTTCTGTCGAGGTAGATAACGATTACATAGAAGAAAAAAAGATAAAAAAAAAACAGGAAAAAAAAAACAGAAAAAAAATCATATTGTTTCATATTTGTACAATAAAGATCGTACGAATTAATTATCATTAATGAAACTTTATAAGGACAATATTATTATACTTATAATTATAAGTATAATAAAATGCAAATATAATAACATAATCCAATTAATACATTTATGAAAATATTAATTTAATTATATTTATTTGTACTACTATTCAATTAATACGATTATACCAATATTATTAGATTAAAAGAAAAATTAATACTTATTTCATTTATTATTTTTTGAAATATTTTCTTCTTGAGATAAAAAAAGAAAAAAAAAAAAGAAAAAAAAAGAAAAAAAAAAAGAAAAAAAAAAGAAAAAAAAAAGAAAAATAAGAGACGAATCTAACTTATATAATATATATATAAGATGAAACATTTAAATGAAACGCTTATAAAAATGGACGATTGATTTTTGAATATAATGACATAAGTTAACTTTTAATTTATTGCTAAATGAAATAATTACGAGAATTTCTTTTTCCTTTTTATTTCATTCGCATAATTTTCTTTTCAAAATCATGATCACGGACATATGCGAGTGGACACATTTACTTATACCGTAAAAATATTACATAAAAGATATCTATCTAAATATGTATATGATCATTTCTTAGAAATAAAAGAAACACTAAAGATAATCATGATGATGATGTCATGCGAAAAGATTAAAGTTCGAGAATTTAATTAATTTATTTCTGAAAGAGAGGAAAAGAAAAAGAAAAGAAAAACTCTCTCTCTCTCTCTCTCTCTCTCTCTCTCTCTCTCTCTCTCTCTCTCTCTCTCTCTCTCTCTCTCTCTCTCTCTCTCTCTCTCTCTCTCTCTCTCTCTCTCTCTCTCTCTCTCTCTCTCTCTCTCTCTCTCTCTCTCTCTCTCTCTCTCGTTTTATATGTCAATCTCTATTTCGTATCTCGTTCTAATAAAATATAAATTTCTTTAATGTTGCCATTGCCGATTATTACGTAACATTGTTGGAAATAAATGCAAATGCAAATGCAAATGCAAATGCAAATGCAAATGCAAAAAAAAAAGAGAAATCCTTGAATTGCTCTCTACTTCTTTTTCATTTCTTTCTTTTTCAATTTTTTTTAATCCTATTTTTTTTTTTTAATCCTATTTTTTTCTTTTAATCCTATTTTTTTCTTTTAATTTTTTTTTTTTTTTTTTTTTTTTTTTTTTTTTTTTTTATCATAAAATTTACATTATCACTACGGAATCGTTTATTTTTGAACGGTTGGAAAAAAAAAGAAAAAAAAAAAACCAGGATCGGAAGCTCTTTTCTCCTTTTGTTCCTTTTTC